GGCTGGAGCGGGGCTGAGGCGGCTGCGCTCCGGGGGGGCGTAGGGTCCCGAAGCTGTGGGTGGCTCCCGGGTAGACCCCGGGTGTTCGGGGTCCCGCTCTCCGGGCCGGGCGGAGATGCTGGCCCGAGGCTCATGGCTGTGTGTCGTTTGCAGGCCTGCCGGGACCGGGTCTGCGGGAGGACACCATGACCGGGAGGTGAGTGACTGCCCGAGTGTTGTACCCCTGTTAAAACATTCCTGAGAGTGTTTGTTGGAGCAGTAGGCAATGAGCGGTGTTCCTCTGCCCAGTGTCCTGCTGGGCACTGTTGAACGCCCACGGTTGGGCGTCCCTATTCTGAAATATCTTGAACTGGTTTTAGTTGCTGTTAGGATGTACCACGCTCTCCCTGGCATGTCAGTAAATACTAGTGTAAAACATATGGGTTTGTTAGGATAGTGTTTGTGACTCCCCAGTGTACAGTGGAGCTTTGACATACACTATTTCCTTGAGTAAAGGAAGCAAGGTGGTTTTCTCATGGGTAAATTTCCTGTTGTGCCACCGAATTTTCTTTAGCTTGTAAGGATTGAGTTTGAAAGTGGAGGGATTAAATCTGAATGCTCTGAAGTTATCTGGAGAAGCTGTGGTTGTCCCATCCCTGGAAGTGTACGAGGCCAGGCTGGATGGGACTCTGAGCAACCTGGTCTAGTGTGAGGTGTCCTTGCCCATGGCAGGGGAGTCAGGACTGCATGGTCTTTAATGTCCGTTCAACACAAACCATTTAATGGTTCTGTGAATCACAGCTTTATATCTTAGTATCTGTCTCTGGAGTTTGTCTTGTTACACGTGTGGCAGGTAGAACTGGATATCTCGTTTGATCCTGCTGTATCCCAGGGCAGGTGATGGATGCCCTTGGGCCAGACATGCTGTCTACTCAGTGTGTGGGACAAGTCTTAAAATAACTTTACGTGAGGAGTGCAGGCAGGACTTTGTCCTGAGGAATTGCTGGGGATTTTGTGTAATGTCTGTGTCCAGTGGATGTCAGGCTGTTGTTCTGGCTGGTAATTCCTCTGAGGATACAAATCAGGGGCAGTTCATCCCTTCTACAGCAGTTACTGCAACACAGGACATCTCCTTTGGTGTGTAGAAAAAAAACAATGTTTACTCACCAGTGTTAGTAGACATTTGGAAATATCTGCTAATGCTGAAGCATTTGAAACTTAATTTGAAGCCTGTGCTGTAATGCCAGCAGTTTATGATAAGTAAAATATGCAATGTTCTCATAAATACTTCATGTTCCACATACTTCGCTTTCCTCTGCTAATTTCTATTAGTGTGGAATTAGCTTCTGCTGAAACTGCCTGTGATTTGTTTTTACTTTTGTTACTTTGGAGTGAATTATAATTTGCAGATGTTTTCCATGTTTATAGGCTGTGGTGCAAGGCCATTTTTGCTGGCTACAAACGTGGCCTGCGAAACCAGCGGGAGCACACGGCCCTTCTGAAAATTGAAGGTGTTTATGCCCGTCAGGAGACAGACTTTTACCTGGGCAAGAGGTGTGCCTATGTGTACAAAGCTAAAAAGTAAGTGATGTTTTATTCTTGTGCTGAATTAGCTAGTTTCTGTATCAGCTTTTGCAAATGCTTAGGAGATAATGATATTATATGATATGTTAGTGAGCAAGTGGGATGAGAAAGAAGTTTTGCCTAAGATTGAAAAAAACTGAAGGCGGATTGATGGAGTAAATTGAGCTGGGTGAATTAGTGTCAAATATTATGAACCATTGAGTTACTTAAACAGTAAAGTGATTTTGTGAAGCCTGGATGAATTTTTATTCTTTTGTGTGCCCATGTCTGAGCACTTTCTGTCACTTCTGCTCTGCTGCCATTGGTAGACACCTTGGCAACAGCTTCCTATTACTTCCACTTCCTTTTTTCCCTTGAATGCTGTTGTTAGAGTTCAGAATTGCCTTGGATAAAATTGATCAGACTGATAACTTGACCGCCATCATTTCCAACATGGCACATGGCTCTTCATTTAATGCAATTTCTGCCATCTATCCCAAAGCCTATTCTTCTAAGGTGTTGGCAATTTCATATTGTTGGTTTTTCAGTTTAATTGTATTAGCAAAAGTGTTTTCTAAATTTTTGAGCTTTGTAAGCTGTTAATAGTTATCCGATGGAACTTCTGATAAATTGCATGCTGTAATTACCCCTTTGAAAGCTACAGTGAAAATCCCAGGCCTGTAAAATTTCACAAGTTAAATAAAAGTTGACATTGGTCTAGTTAAAGAAGGCTATGGAGCTAAATTATTGAGGTGCCTTAGCGAGACCGCATTGTCACTGCTGGTGACAGCAGAGCTGTGACTGCCCTGCTCAGCTGTTCATTGCCTCCTTTTCCCCAGCAACACGGTAACCCCTGGAGGCAAACCCAACAGGACACGCGTGATCTGGGGGAAGGTGACCCGAGCCCATGGGAACAGTGGCATGGTTCGTGCCAAGTTCCGCTCCAACCTTCCTGCCAAGGCCATTGGACACAGAATCCGGGTGGTAAGTGGATGTGTTTTAACAACAAGACATTATTGACAATTTTTGAGGTGCATTTTAATTCCACTTAGCATGAGGGAACATTTGAACTGGTTTTTTTTCTGTTGCTGTTGGGTGTTCAGCATGGCTCAGTGACTGTTCTTTTGGAGCCTAGAGGGGCTTTTTCCTGGCTTCCTATGTTGTGGGGATTTGTCTCATTTTCAGGGGTTTGTGTGCTTGTTCAGGTTGTCTGGAAAGGCTCTTCAAGTTCCAGGACTCAGCTCCTTTCTAAAGCTGCCTTGATTTCTTTTCCACCAATCTACTCTGTGTGTTTTTGCACCCTTCTGCTCCTCTACCTGTTTGATTTTTCTCTTACCTCCCAAATGTTTTAACTGAGGGCAGTGCTGCTCCTACAGTTGGCATTTTAGCCACAGTGCTTCATTGTGACTGTCCCTTTAGGTCTCTCACCCAGAGTTGTGATGTAATATTTTCTTAGTGATGCTGTCAAAAGTTGTTACAAGAGGGGTGCAGTCCTTCCTTTCCGTCTTTCTCCTGTGCCTTAAAAAAAAGCACAGTAGGAGCAGCACAGATAATTCCTGAAATCCAGAGCCATTGGAACTCTGGTTGGTGTTGAAGGGCTGGCTGCCACCAGAGTCAGTGCCACCAGCAAAGTGCTCCTGCAAGTCACTGAGCAGCTGTTGGGCTTTTCCATTCTCACACCTCTTCTGTATAAACTGGGGATTGCTTTCATAGCAGATGATGAGATTCATGGTCTAGATTGTAACTGCAAAACTCAGGTTGGAATACAAGATTTCTAATGTGATTGTGTCTGGTTTTGTGTTTTACAGATGCTGTATCCATCTAGGATCTAAATTTTTATTGAAAATAAAATGGAGAATCTGTTTAACTTTCGTATATTTGTGGTTTTATTGCCTCCACCAATTCTGAGAGACCTCTTTCTCAGTAGTGTATCAGTTGACAGCACAGAAACACTACATCCTGGCAGTTGAAAACCTCTCTCACATCTCACAATAGTAGTTCTGGTAGAATCCCAGATAATGAACCTGTGTGTACCTGGGCAGCATGTGTGCCAGTAGTGTCTGTTTGTGTAAATTCTTTAAACACATTTTCATTGCATGGCTCTGCAGTGTCCAAGTGTTAATGCTGTTTTGTCAGCCAGCCTAATCCAGCCTAATCATGTAGGGCAGTGAGCATCTTCACAGCACTTCCTTAGTTCTTTTAGGTTTGCTCAACAGTAAGGTGATGAAAAATGAGCTTACAGTCTTGAAGTGCAAGGCTCAGAGTTTCTTCTATCTGAAAATCACCCCAAAAAACTGGGTAGATTGAAGGGAGGTTTGAGGCAGGTACAGGTTGTCATGGTTGCTGCTGATGTCACAGTCCCAAAATGACCTGTGGATGCCCTGTGAGGGCAGTTCCACATACACCAAGTAGTTCCATCATTTTCAATGCATCCCTAGTAGGTCAGGCAGGTGAGTGTTGGGTCAACCAAACCTCGAGGGCATTTCAGTGCAGTGCCTCCTTCCCAGGGCATGAGAGCTTCCTTCTCCTTGCCTGGCCCTGCTGCCAGTGTGTGTCAGGGAGCCCTCTGAGCTGTTGGCTTTGCATGTCTCCTGCAGTGGGGTTGGTATTTCACAGCTAATCCTCTTCTTTCTGAAAAATCCTTTCAGAAAGAGGTGTAGTTGTGTGTGCAGAATACATTGTTGGGTAAATCAAAACTTTACTTTTAACTGGAATTAAAAAACTTTACCCAGCTACTCAACTCTGGTATAGAAATTATTTTGCTGAGACCTAAGCCTGCTTCAACTGCTGTCCTTCACAGCAGGACAGCCTTTGCCATGGAAAACTGCATTTTTTTAATGTGTGGAGAGAAATTGCTGCTTATGGGATATTCGGCCAGGTCAGGTAGGGCTTTTAGTCTTCCACAACTACCATTAGGTTTGACACATTGGATTTAAGGACAGATGGGATTTCCAGCTTTAAGCATTATGGAGGAAGGAGGAAGAAATGTAGTGAGCAAAGTTGACTGTAACAACAGTTTTGTAAGCCTGTGGTCACTGTGATATAGTCAGTTGCTGATGAGAAGGTAGTAAGTCCTTTTGAGTTTGATAAAAGATGCCCAAAAATATGTAATTATCCCTTCTCCCCTGTCACCTCTTTATATTGTACCAAACTGCAAAGGTACAAAGCCTTTTTCCGGAAGGTCCAACCCCGAATAGCAAATGGCTGCAATTTGTGAATCTTTGTATCAAAACTCAGCTATTTTCACATTCTTTTGCTCCCACCCAACCCAGCCTTGGCTGCTCAGAGCCGGAGGTGTTGCCTGTGCTGTGCAATTAGTGCTTCCACTCCTTTCCTCAGCATCACAGTAAACTGACGTGTGAGAGGAAACCATGGCGTCAAAGGAGCCGGCCTCGTTCGTGGACAGAACCACCTGGGATTTCCTCAACCTGCTGGACATGCTGGGGAACCGGAATGGACGGGTGGGTGTGATGGAAGTGGACCATGCTGAGTCAAGAGCTCCCTCATTGCTGGTGGATTTTACCCAGGACCTGTGTGGCACAGTGGACATCAAGCACAAACCACAGCAGGCAGAGAATGAGGGAAAGGAAGAAGAGGACCTGGTTGCCCCACATCTGATTTTTATGCTATGGCAAGCCAGTGTGTTGAAAAGGCTCATGCAGTGGGATCACCTGGAGGAGGCTGTCCGGGATGTGAGGAACCTCCTCCCCTGCCTGCCGAATGTGTTGGTGCTTGTGATGATCCGTCCTGACTCCCAGGAGCAGCTGGACCAGGCAGCAAGAGCGCTGAGGAGAATGCAGTGTGTGCTGGATGGGGCCCTGCAACTGACTGTGGAGACTGCAATTTACAGCCCAGGCCAGCCTGGAGGTGTTCTGGAGGCAAAGAAAGCTGCCTGTAGGGCACTGAGAGAAGCCTTGAACTGCCATGAAGGTAACTGGTTAACACAGCTAAACACAGGGGTGAGGGACACAAAAACATGCTCAGGGCAGAGTCTGAGGAACAGTGTAGATGGAAGTGGTGTTTGTTGACTGGATTCAGATACAAGAGGGAAAACAAGCTGGACCTTGTAGGTAATATGAGGCAGAACTTAGAATGGGGGTTTACATGCTGGGATGGGGATGGACAATGTGTCCGAGCCAAGTGTGTTTCCTCCTCCAAGTCAGATGGTGTTGGCTCTTCCTTGCCTCAAAACATATATAGCAAGCGGAAATGTTGTTCATTTCCAAGAATGTAAAGAACTGTAAGAACTGCAGTTCTGACTCCCTGCTGGAGCTTTCTGTGCTGATAACTGCTCCACAGCTTCACTGACCCTGAGTTCTTCATTGGAGGGATGTGCCAACATTTTTGGGTGGCCACAGGCCTTAGCTTTGAAGGGATGGTGCCAGGTGTTTTTCTATCATTTGTGTTTCTTCCCCTAGAAGTCGACTCCCAGGAGCCATTTGTTATTTCACTCCCAGAGCTCAGATACTGCCGAGTTCTGCCTGAACGTAGGGAAGAGAAGGTATCAAAGACAGATGGAGAATGAATTCCCTTGGGCAGCAGAATCTGTCAGGTTGGTTTTAGCACTGTCCTACTGGATGTCCCTTTGCAGAATGCTTCCTTCCTGGTGACTTGCCTAGGCCTTCTGCATGGATGAGATTCAGTGCATGGCTGCTGCCAGAAGGGGACGCTGCATCCTCAGCATCACACTATCGTTGCCACAAAGCTCAGAGTTCTTTGCTGCATTGACTGAACAATCTGCCCTGGGAAACTTTTATCAAAAATCACTGAGTTTCTGCTTTGCATGAAATGCCTTGCTTGATTATCAAAATGTCCCTAAGATACCTGTCCCTAAGAAAACTGTCAGCAGAGATGGAAGCAGAGCAGGCCAGAAGCCTCTTGCTTTTAAACTGTCCCAGAACTGAAACAGTGAGAAAAACTCAAGACCAAGGCCTCAGACCACCTTTTCCCAGGAGAACCTGGATACAGGAGTCGTTGGTACATGGTTCTTAACAGGAACAAAGCTCCTGAAACTCCACAGGGTTCTTTGTAGCAGGGAGTTTACCTTACGTACAAATGGGTACACATCCAGCAGATTGAGTTTCTGGGATGGGTTATTTTGGATGGGAAGAACTGTGGGAGTAGTAGAATATTTTTAAGTCCAATTACCCACACAATAGCTGAACTCATTTCCCATCCTCTCTGGGCATGGAAAAGCACTGTAAGTAGCTGCACTTTTTTGCATTGGGAGTTTATAAGTATTTTTTCTTTGGTGTTTTTTGTAGATATTTTGTCATCCTAAGATCTTCATTATCATCAAAAGAAGGATTAAAAACCTGGTATTTATCTCATTTCTCTGTGTCTGTGTGTATCTATAAGTTTTAAAGCTTATATCTAAGACTACAAAACTTGCTGAAGCTGCAGGTTTGTGCAGTATGGTACAGAAGGGGTGGGATTTGAGGGCAGTACAGATCCTATAAACTAATGTTTGTCAGAGAAAGAATTCTCCAGATTATTTTTCAAATACAGATTCTTTCCAGATCTTTAAGGATGTGGCTTTAAAAAGCAAAACAACCTTGCTGTAAGTGTTGGGTTGTCCTGGTGCTTGGTAGACTTTTGGATGAGATGACCAATTGCTCTGTTGTGGAAGAGACTTTCCATGAGCATTTCCATGAGATGAATTCTGCGTTTTATTACTGAGGACACTGGTTTTGGGTTTTTGGTCAAGCTAATGAAGAAATGGTTACCTTGAGTCAAAACAAGACATGTACATGTACAGGCTGTTTGTGAGTGAAGAAAGTTTGGCTTTAAAAATTCAGGATGTCCTAAATATTAGGACATCCTTAAAGCAAGAAGCCACAATGAGGTCCTGTGTCTCTGTTATTTCCTGTAGCATCTGAAACACACAGATAACCACCCAAATCCAGGGATAGTCCATGCAGCTTTCAAGTTTCCCCTCTGGCAGCCTGTTTGTACTGTGTCCAGGCACTTCTGTGCAGGGTGATGTGGGGCACTGTCAAGATGAAAGGAAGAAACTCTGAGATGTGGCTGAAACCCTGGCTAGAGCTTGGGAGCACAGGAATCCCCTGCAAGGGCAAGTGATATAGCCACAGGGATGTGTGGCTGGGACAACAAGGAATGTGGTCGGCCAGAGAGCTGAGGAAAAGAGGCAGAAGGCCATCCCTGGGTGCTCTCAAGCTGTACCCTTGCTGCATTCTCCACCTAATCCTGGGTGGATACAGAGAAGTCTTAGAGTGCCCTGTAGTGTACAGGCCTCTTTCAGGGCTGGCAAACCAGGCAGATCCACACTGACCTGCTCTTCTCATTCCAGCAACTCCAGGGAAGCTCTTGGATTTGCCCTTTGCCTTATAAAAGGGAGCAGTTCTGAGAACCTGGGAGCTTGGCCATGCCAAGAAGGGGCTTTGTGAGAAGCAAGTAGGAGAATGCACGAGGCAGGGTTAGGGAGGCAGGAGGAGCTGTGTTTGTGTGCAGTGGTCCCAACTATTGGCCCCTTGGTGATCTCTGAGGTGATTTTTAAGAGGTGCTGCAAAAGCTAAGTGCAGAAAAGCTGGACTGTTGGTGTTGAAGGCATGTGTGTACTGGGAAAGAATGGAGACTGGTGGCTGTAAACAGCTAATCTTGGGTCCTATTTTCAAACCAAAGGCGAGGATCCAGCCAAGGACAACCAGAAAAAAGGCCAGAAGAGGTAGCTTGGTCCTTGGGTCTGATTTCATACTCATTGCTACTTATTTAACATCTTCCAGTGGAGGATCCAAGAGTGGCATAGGCTGACAGGCTGCTCCATCTGTCTCTAAGAGGGCAGGGAAGGACATCCGTCCTATGTCCAGGACTGACCAACACTTCATGCTCTCTGCACATGGCCCTGTGCCAGGTTTCCTTCCTCCTCTCCAGCCATACTTTCCTATGCCCCTCTGCCATCCAGAATGGGATGGTGACTCAAGGAAGCATGAGGAAACTTAGGACAACTGCAGAGATGGGCAGCTTTTAAAGAGAACAGAATTTTGGAGAAAAGAGACAAGAAAAAAGTTCGAGGTTCTCCAGGAACCCAGGCTGTGTCACCCCACCCAGCCATGGGGTGCCAGGGATTTCTCAACTTTATTTGTTTATGGTGTGTAACCTGCACTGAGTGGAGTCCAGAGGGCTGTGATGACTTGGACAGATCCAGGCCAGGGCTGAGCTGCTACAGGTTGCCTTGGTACCAAAACTGGGTCTGCCTCAGCTGGCCCTGGAGGTGGCTGGGTCTGGGGTGAGGGGACCTGGGTCAGAACAGTGTGACCATCCAGTTTGGATTTAGTAGTGACTGAACTCATCACAGAAAGGGTTCATGTCTGGTTTGATACAAAGTTCAAGTTCCAGTGGGTGAAAAGTGGGAAGGTGTTTGGGTTCAGAGGCCTGAAAGACTGAGGGGAAGCTGGGGGAGGTCAGTGGAGAAAATAGGAAGAGCCATGGAGGAGTGAACATGAGGCAGGCTAGAAGTGAATCAGTGGGACTGGGATACTGGGGGCAGGAGTGGGGTTTGCAGTATTTTCTTCTCTCACAATTGCCTCTTCTACTACTTCTTTGGGGGACCCAAGGAGGTGTCCATGGATGAAGAGCTCAGCGAGAGCTGGTGCCCTGCAGCAATGCCTTAGTAGCAACTGGTAGTGCTACACAAGTAAAGCACATGCTTTCCAGCATCTGGTAAGGATGTGCTTTTCAAAGTAATAATTGAAGCAAGTTTGGAGAACAGACCAGTGGAAGAGCAAATGTGCAAAGGTTTACTGAGGCTTAGCTTGTCTGCAGCCAGTTCCAGCTCCAGCTCCTACCTGGCTCAGAGGCTTTTCCAAGTGTCCCCATGAGCACCAAAGCTACTGAAAGGAAGAATTTAAGAAGTTGGAATTGTGGAAGTAGGCACCACATTATTCAATACTTTAGCCAAGAAACTCAAATTAACAAATCTAAACCACTACAGCTGGGTGGACATTGGGTTCAGAAGATGCTCCTACAGATTCCCTCTTGCTCATTCAGTCTCTGCTCTTCTACCATCAAAACCAGCACAAGAATCCTTTTTTCCTGACCTCTTTTTAATCTCTTCAGGAGAAAGGTTTATCTTGGTAAATTCAGGCTCTAATGCAGTGAACCTTTTTTTGTTGTTGTTGTTGTTTATGCTTCAAGGCACTACTAATACACATGCCAAATTTGTTTCTCTGAACAAAGCATCTTCACTTCTCTTTTGAAGTCAAAAATGAACAGATGTTTTGTCTGCTCTGGACAGCTATGGGCATATGTAAGGGATGTGATGACCCTCATTTAAGTCTGTCTATAGTGACTGTCAGACAGATGTTTGATGGAATGCCAAGTCTTCTAAATACATCTGTGTTTTTGCTCAGATTCCTGACAGGGCTCTGAAGACATTTTGTGGGGTACTACAAATACTGCTGAGCTCATGACTGCCTCTCAACTCTTTGAGTTGTAC